TATTTTTAATACAATTTTACAGGAATTGCTAAAAAATTCCTTTTCAAAAATTCAATTCCTCGAAAAAATCAATTATTTACAAAAATATTAGAATTTTCCACAGGCATTCAATTATTTCCAAATATTTTAATAAAATTGTTCGAAAGAAATTAATTATTTTAAATTCATTTTTAATTTAAATTTTTTTCAAATAATTTAATTAATAATTTTTAAAAATAATAAAATTCTTCACAGGAATTCAATTATTTTTTTCTATATAATAAAATTCTTCGCAGATTTTCAATTATTGTTTGTAAATAACAAACTTCATCACAGAAATTTAATTATTTTGAACACAATTTTAATAAAATTCTTTGAAAAAATCAATTATTTTAATAGATTTTTAAAAAATTCTTAGCAAGAATTCATTTATTTAAAATACAATTTTCATAAAATTTTACGAAAAATATCAATTATTTAAAAAGATTTTTATAAAATTCTACGCAAGAATTCAATTATTTTTAAAAATAATAAAATTCTTCTCAGGAATTCAATTATTTTTTTCTATATAATAAAATTCTTCGCAGATTTTCAATTATTTCTTATAAATAATAAACTTCTTCACTGGAATTTAATTATTTTTAATACTTGTAATTTTTTTTAATTTAACTAATGTTTAATACTTCTTAGCAAGAATTTAATTATTTAGAAAAAAAATTTAATAAGTTACTTGCAAGAATTCAATTATTTTCATTTAAATAAGAAAATTCTTCGCAGGAATTTAATTACCTATTATAATAAATAATAAACTTCTTCACAGGAATTTAATTATTTTGAACACAATTTTAATAAAATTTTAATAAATGAATAATTTTAATAAAAAATACAATTTTAAATGAAATTCTTCATAACAATTCAATTAGGATTTTAAAAAAAGTTTGGTAAGCCTTTTATAAAAATTCAATTTTAAGATTGATAAAAAATTATTGATAAAAATATTAAAAAATTGATAAAAAATATTAGTAAAATTAGTAAATTTTACTAATAAATATGTAATTGAGTAATTTTTACACAATAAAATTTAAAGAGTAAATATAATTATTTTTTCAACTTTCATGTACCTTTATTTTATCTTTTTTACTTGATTTTCTTTTCAGTATCCAATTTCTTACTTTACTCTTCACATTCTCTTTTTTTTAATGTATTTAAAGTAAAATCTTTCATAGACTTCTGTTTCTGAAATATTTTGAGCATTTATGTGAAAAGCATAATGTTTTATACATGTGAGTATACATTGAAATTTTAAATCATAAATATAGTGATGTTTAGTGTTTGCTTTTGGTCAGCAAGAAAATGCCATTCCATCTGTTTAAAGCAAAAAAAAAAAAAAAAAAATAGAGAGAAAAAAACTGTCTGCAAGAACGTTAAAGGTTTATATAAGAAAACGACGACGACCAAGTTACAATTTTCTACTTTTACAACTCGAGTATATATTCTATAAGAAAAAAAATTCAATGTAAATTTCTTTTCCATCAATTTAACGTTGATTATGTTTTGTATAATCAAACTTTTTAAGACTTTTCCCATTTTCCTCAATTTCAAGTTGAAATTAATAATCGGCGACTCAAAGTTTTTTTTATTAAGTTTCCTATTATACGCAGAAAAATGATCAATTTTTCAAGAAAATGCACTGGGAAAAAATTTCTTTTAATTAAAAAATATTCAACCAAAAAAATAGATTTGAATTAAATTTATAATTGAATTAAAAACGTAATTTTTATTGAATCAAACTTATTTTGTATTGAATCAAAATATAGTAGAAAAAATATAGTATATCAATTTTTCAAAAAAAAGTACTGAGAAAAAAGTTTTTTAATTAAAAAATAAATATTCAACGTAAAATCTTTTATTGTTTTTTCTGTGTGGATAAAGAAATAGTTTACATCTATGGATTAAAATAATTATAAATGAATGGCAACTAATATAGAAAAATGTTAAAAAGTTAATTAAAAAAAAAATAGTTTTTTAAATTGTTTAAAAATTCTTTAAAGAAATTTTATTTTCGAAAAATCAAATTGAAATACTTTTTTTCTTTTACTAATTATAGTTTTAGTAAATTTTTAATTTTTTAATAAACAGTAAAATGTTCTTAAACCACTTGTTCAATAAATTACACGCAAAATGGATAATTTTTCACGTTGCTTTAAAGTAATTATTCATATACACGCCGACTTCTTAAAGCCATCTAAGTTTCTCTCGTAATAATTGCAGTTAAAACACTGCTCGTTACTCAATTACTTCTTATCTCCCTTATCCCAAAGGTAAACCCCTTAAAGCCCTACACGCGCTTCTCGCGTGTAAAACCAGCGTGCGTATATAGCTATATACTTATATATGTTTAGAGGTGACGGATAACATGAAACTATACATTGTTGATTGTTAATAAAAGTTAACGTTCCGAGAGGAATATGTAAAATGCGCAAAAAAAAATATCGTTAGTCTTTTACGAGATGACTATTTCATTTTCTCATTTCTTCTTTTTTTTCGCTTTTTCGTTTTTTCTTAATGAGTCATATATTCGTTATCGAATCCAGTGATCTGAATCACTTTAATTATTATTGCCTTCAATTTCTCATTTAAAAAAAAAATATTTAATAAAATATGAAAAATAGTAATAAAATAAAATAAGTCATAAAATTGGAAAAAATGTGATTTTTACTGAAAAATAATTAATTTTGAAAAAACTAAAGAATGCTACTTTGGTACTTTATTTATCTATGCTTAAAATAATATTTCTTTTTTCAATCTATCAACTTTTTTTAAAACCATTGCTACTATATTTTTTCTACTATATTTTTATTCAATACAAAATAAGTTTGATTCAATAAAAATTACATCAAAAAGAATTTAATTAGAATTATCAAAAATTTTAACATAATTCTTCACAAAAATTCAATTATTTTCCTAAATAATAAAATTCTTCGAAAAAATTCAATAATATTTGTAAATAGTTAATTCTTTGCAAAAATTCAATTATTTTCTAAAATCTTAATAAATCTTTCGAAACAATTCAATCATTTTTTTAAATAGTAAAATCTTTTCAAAAATTCAATTATTTTCAAAAATATTTCATTAAAAAATTCAATTTTTTCTTAATTCGATATGAAATCTTTGCAAAAATTCAATTATTTTCAAAAAAAATTTCACGAAAGAATTCAATTTTTTTCTCTATTCGATATCAAATATTTCAAAAAAAAATAAATTATTTTTAATACGATTTGAATAACATTTCACGAAAGAATTCCTTTTTTTTCTTAATTTGTTATAACAAATTTCAAAGGATTCAATTATTTTCCAAAATTTTGATAAATTCTTCGAAAAAAATTTATTTTTATTTGTAAATATAGTAAAATTCTATGCAAAAATTAAATTATTTTTTAAACTTTTAATAAATCCTTTGAAACAATTTAATTATATTTATAAATAGTAAAATTCTTTGCAAAAATTCAATTACATTCAAAACAATGTCACGAAAGAATTCAATTTTTCTCTCTATTCGATATCAAATATTTCAAAAAAAATAAATTATTTTTAATACGATTTGAATAACATTTCACGAAAGAATTCCTTTTTTTTCTTAATTTGTTATAAAAAATTTCAAAGGATTCAATTATTATTTTCTAAAATTTTGATAAATTCTTCGAAAAAAATTTAGTTTTATTTGTAAATATAGTAAAATTCTATGCAAAAATTAAATTATTTTTTAAACTTTTAATAAATCCTTTGAAACAATTTAATTATATTTATAAATAGTAAAATTCTTTGCAAAAATTCAATTACATTCAAAACAATGTCACGAAAGAATTCAAATTTTTTTTTTTCCTAATTTGTTATAAAAAATTCCAAAAAATTCAATTATTTTCTAAAATTTTAATAAATTCTTCGAAAAAATTCAATTATATTTTGTAAATTATAGTAAAATTCTTTGCAAAAACTCAAATTATTTTTTAAACTTTTAATAAATCCTTCGAAACAATTCAATTATATTTATAAATAATAAAATTCTTTGCAAAAAAATTCAATTATTTTAAAAAAAATTTCACGATAGAATTAAATTTTTTTCTTAATTCGTTATAAAATTTTTCAAAAGAATTTTCAAAAATTTTAATAAAATTTAATAATTAAATGGTTAAATTTAAATTATTAATAAATACGATTATTTTATAAACTTGAAAGAAATGATTCATAAAATTCAATTATTTTTAAGATTTTTTAATTAAAATTTTTAAAGATGAAACTCTATAATTTAAAAAAAAAAATCCAAAGAAATTCTTCAAAAAGAGTTTAATTAGAACTATCAAAAATTTTAACATATTTCTTTTCGAGAATTGAATTATTTTCCAAAATAATAAAATTCTTCGAAGGAATTCTATTATTATTACATTTTTTGATAAAATTTTTTGCAACAAAATTCGATGATTTTCAATAAATTAATTTTAAAAATGGAAATTATTTAAAATGAAAAATACAATGATTTTATTAATATAGATTATAAATTTAATTCAAACATATTTTTTACGTTGAATACATATTTTTTTAATTAAAATAACTTTTTTCTCTGTGCTCTTTCTTGAAAAATTGTTATACTATATTTTTTCTACTATATTTTGATTCAATGCAAAATAAGTTTGATTCAATAAAAATTACGTTTATAATTCAATTATAAATTTAGTTCAAACATTAACTAATTATAAGAAGTGCCTACTTAAATAGGAGCCAAGAATATTTCCCATTTAATTCAAGTGGGGTCACTTAATTTAAAAAGGGAATATTCTTGGTCCTATTTAAGTAGGAGCTTCTTAAAATTACATTATCGTTTTTTCTGTGCATTTTTATAGACGAAAAAATAGTTTAAAAAATTAAACAGCAGTACTTGGAACTGCATTTTTTAAAAATATTAAAGAAGAAGAAGAAGAAGAAAATGGAGAAGAAAATTAAGAGATTAAAGTGTATAAGCTTACCGTCAATTCCATTCTTTCCAGAACTGCCAGGAATTCCAGGAATGCCATCTTTTCCGTCTTTACCCGGAATACCATCGTGGCCTATTCGTCCTGGGATTCCGTCCAATCCTGGTTCTCCAGGAATGCCATCCCTTCCGTCGAGTCCAGGTGAGCCAGGATCGCCTTTCAGTCCTCTCTCACCTGGATAGCCAGGCAGTCCCGGTGGCCCCTCGGGTCCTGATGCCCCCGCGTGTCCAGGAAGTCCCCTGTCCCCAGGTGCTCCCGGAGCACCCTGTGCCCCGGGCGCTGCTGCTGGACAACTGTCTCTGAATTTTCGACAGTACGCATGTATCGTATCCACCTGAAAATGACAAAAAAAAAAAATTAAATTTAAATAAATAAAATATTAAATTTTTTTATTAGATTACAAATATTAAATACTTTAGTATTTAATTAAATTTGAATTTTTGTGGCAATCCTGTATATATTCGACTTTGTGGATTGCTCGCCATAGTAGCAAAGGAAAGTTTTAGTCAGACAAACTTCCTTGTCCTCAAATTTTTTATTAGATTACATACAAATATTAAATACAGTACCGTCCGCAATTGTCAGTCCACCCATTTTTAAAGGAATGACAAAAATTTTTTATCATAAAATTCATGAAAACTAAAATTTTTTTTGGTTTATATTTTAAAAGACGATAAAATTTTGAAAAGAATAAGACCTTACAGAAGTCATTTGGCCAAAATTTGTAGAAGATATTCCTAAAAATCGTCATTTTCCATGTTTTACAAAAATTTAAATAACTTCTAAAATAATGAACGCTTTTTAATAATCTTAGGCTTATTTTAAAGGTCTTTTTCTACGGAATAAGAATTACTTATAGGCATTAACCTGTCATTTTTAACTTGGAATAAGCATGACGTCAAAATTAGACAAAAAAGTTGGAAAAATTTGAAATCAATTTTTTGTACTAAAAACTATTCTAGAACATATATAAAACATGATATGGTGTAGATTTTTCAAGAAAATTCAATAAAAATATATGTTTGAGTTTCAAAAATTATTTTTCTTTTAATAATATTATTTCAAATTTTTTGAATTTTTTTGTCCAACTTTGACGTCATGCTTATTCCAAGTTAAAAATTACAGGTTAATGCCTATAAGTAATTCTTATTCTGTAGAAAATGGTCTTTAAAATAAGCCTAAGATTATTAAAAAGCGTCCATTATTTTAGAAGTTATTCAAATTTTTGTAAAACATTGAAAATGACGATTTTTAAGAATATCTTCTACAAATTTTGGCCAAATGACTTCTGTAAGGTCTTATTCTTTTCAAAATTTTATTGTCTTTCAAAATATAAACCAAAAAAAATTTTACTTTTTATGAATTTTATGTTAAAAAATTTTTGTCATTCCTTTGAAAATGGGTGGACTGACAATTTCGGACGGTACTGTACTAAGTACAGATTTCGCACTCGATAAATAATTTCATAAAAGTAGCAAAAAGTAGCTTTCAAACTAAAAAAATGTAGTAAAAAAGTGACTATCGAAAAATTAAACTTGACGACAAAAAAAACTCATTTTAGACACTTCACAAAACTGACAAAAATTTCATTCTATATTTTATTTTCCTGACTTTTTCCTAATTTTCATCAAAAATATTTACTTCTTTCTTATCCTACTGTTAATAAATTGAATTCCTGCAACGAATTTTATTATTCATGAAAGAATTTCAATATTTATAAAAATAATTGAATTCTTACGAAGAAATTTATTAAAAAATTTTAAATAATTCATTTCTTTCGACTTAATTTTATGCAAATTCTAATTTAAATAATTGAATTCCTCAGAAATTTTTATTATTTATATAAAAATAATTTAATTCTTACGAAGATTTTTACAAAATATTTTGAAATAATTGAATTCTGTTTGGAAATTTTATGAAAATAGTAAATATTGAAAATCATTGAACTGCAAAAAGTTTTTAAAAATAATTAAATTTTACAAAGAATTCTACTAAAATTGTTGACAATAATTGAATGTCTGTGTGGTATTTTATTAAATTTTCTTAGAAATAATTCAATTCCTAAAAAGCATTTTATTAATTTATGAAAATAATTGAATTTCTGAGAAAGATTTTATTGGAATTTTTTTAAATAATTGAATTTCCAAGAAAAAAATTGTTACTTTTAAAAATAAATAAATTCCTGTGATAAATATTGTTATTTATATGAAAATAATTGAATTTTGTAAAGAAGTTTATTAAAATTCCTCAAAATAATTGAATTTTTAGAAATAAATTTGTTATTTATCTACATAATTGAATTCATTCAAAGAATTATTTATGTATATAATTGAATTCTTGGAAAGAATTTTATTTAAATCTAAAAGAATAATTGAATTATTTAAAAAAAAATTAATTAAAATTGTATTTAAAATTATTTATTTATTTCGAACAATTTTATTAAAATATTTGAAAATAATTGAGTTCCTGTGTTATAGATTCTAATATTTTTGTAAATATCATTGAATTCTTCCAAAGAATAATAAAAAAATTTTTTAAATAATTGATTTCTTCGAGGAATTAAAATGAAATTTTTAAGAATAATTACATTTTTTTTAGCAATTCCTGTAAAAATGTATTAAAATTTAAAAATAATTGAAATTCTATACGATGAATTTTATTATTTATGAAAATAATTGAAAAATTGCAAAGAATTTTATACAAAATTTATAAAAATAATTAAATTGCTGAGCAGAATTTTAATCTTTATAAAAGTAATTGAATTCTTGCGAAGTATTTTATTAATTTTTTTTAAATAATTGAATTCTTGTTAAGAATTTTATTAAAATTCTATACTAAACATAATTGAATTCCTGCGATGAATTTTATTGTTTATGAAAATAATTGATTTCTTGCAACGAATTTTATTACTTATAAAAATAATTGAATAGTTGCTATAAGAATTTTATTATAATTTTCAAAAATAATTAAATTCCTGAGAAGAATTTTATTATTTAAGAAAGTAATAGAATTATTTTGAATAATTTTATTAAAATCTTTAAATAGAATTGAATTTCTGTAAAAAATTTTGTTATTTTTAAAAATAATTGAATTCTACCAAAGATTTTTAAAAAAAACATTTTTTTAAATAATTGATTTTTTCGAGGAATTGAAATTAAATTTTTAAGAATTATTAAATTTTTTGAGCAATTCATGTAAAATTGTATTAAAAATAATTGAAATCCTGCGATGAATTTTATTATTTATGAAAATACTTGAATAGTTAGCGAAAAATTTTAATAAAATGTTGAAAAGAATTGGATTTTCGTGAAAAATTTTGTTATTGTTGAAAATAATTGAATTCTTCATAAGAATTTTATAAACATTGTTGCAAATAATTAATTTTCTCGAAATATAATGAATATCATGGAAATTTTATTTTTAATAATTAAATTCTTATATAGCATATTTTATATTTGTGAAATTAATTGAATTTTTCGATTAACTAATTTTAAATAGTATTGAAAATAATTGAAATTCTTCGATGAGTTTTATTATTTATGAAAAAATTTTTTTAAAAATTGAATTTCCATAAAAAATGTCATTATTAGTGAAAGTACTTGAATTATTGTGAAGAATTGTATAAAAATTTTGTTAAATAATTGATTTTTTCGAAATTGTTTTGAAAATGCTATTCTAAATTAATTGAATTCCTGTGGAAATTTTATTATTTATGAAAATAATTAAATTTTGAATGTATTTTATCAATTTCTTTCTAAATACTTGAATTCTTTTTCGAAATTTTATGAAAATACTGTAAATATTGAAAATAATTGAATTTCGAATATTTTTTGAAAATACTTGAATCGTTTTAAAGAATTTGATTATAATTTTTGAGAATAGTTTTTTGATTTCTAGTATTAACGAATTTAAAGTAGTGCGGAAATTCTCAAAAAAAAACAGAAATAGTAGCTTTTAGTGACTGAAATAAAAAAAAGTATCAAAATAGTAAAATAAAATAGTTAAAAAAAAGTAGTAAATAGTAGGTTTTAGTAGATGAGTGCAAAGCCTTTAAATATGAGGACAAGGAAGTTTGTCTGACTAAAACTGTCCTTTACTACGATAACGATGCAGTCAACAAAGTCGAATATATAATATAATCTCTTTGAAGAATAAATAGATGTAGAAAAGAGAAAAAAAAGAATTTCTCATTAGATAAAGTGGGGTAAGTTACGCTATAATTTCCAGAAAAGGAGAAAAAGAGAGCACGGAAATACATGAATGGGGCGATAATTCGATCAATCACAATTTGACGCGATACGGATCATTGAACTTGATCCCTTTCTGAAAAAAAAGTAGACAGATCTTAGAAAAGGCAGGCAACGAGAAAAAAAATACGCACCATGCTTTTATAAAACAAACAATATAGAAATTCCACCTCTTAAATTTTCTTCATTCTCAAGAAAATTCTATTTATTTCAATTTTTGTATTTGTATATTTATATTTATAATTTATATTAAGATTTCTATTTATATTTCTTTATTTGCGTTTGTATTTCTGTAATTTTATACACGAACATGATAAGATATTCTTATTGTCCACTATTTCTATTTATAATTGTGAGGACAAAGATGATTTGGAAACTTTTGGATACTGTGGCAAATCTAACAGGGTTGTCCTTATCTGATTTAATTAGAACTAGCGTTAGGAGACCTGCGGTAACTTAATTTGCTGCAGAATTATCTAATAAGGTTAAAGAGATTAAGCATCGATAAACGGAAAGCTCTAGAGTGGATTCGAAAAGGATAATCTAACCCGTCTTCATTTGAATTGAAATCAGATTATCGTTAGCCTTAAACTTCTTGTACATTACAATTTAGAATTTACAAGTTCCATGTTATTTAACTCACCTTTATTCTTTACAAATAAATATATATATATATATTCACCGCTCTTTTTATTTATAGAAAAACTTTATTTCCTCCCACTAAATATTTCTACACTCTACTAAATTTCCCATCAAGTTCAAACTTTACCCCTGGAGAAAATAAAGTAACTTTAAACTTAACCCCCTGAGAAATGAATTTAAAAATTGTAAATAAAAATTTAAAAATTGTAAATATTTAAAATATGCAAATTTTCTTTTTCGAACCTACAACTTATTTTCACAATTTCCTTATTTCACGCAACAACTACATCCCGAGTTTCCAATTTAATTAATGCTCTTACCAATTGATATTTGACATGCAAATAACATAGATGTTTGCTTATTCAAGCAAACATTTATAATTCAAATATGCGCAATGTACGTGACAGACCTTTTGCGTTTGAAAAAATGTAGGACAAATTCAAAAAGAAGAGAAGACGATGAGAGAAGAAAGAGAAAAATTCATGAATATTATTTCTCTCTCTCTCTCTCTCTCTCTCTCTCTCTTTATTTTAATAAGATATAAAAAATTCAATTACTGAAATTATGAGACGCTTAAATTTAAAAAATCCACTTTCTGCAGAAAAGTCATAAAAAACTTTCAGGAGGATAACTTTTCAAATAAAGGAATACGAAGAAACCCAAAAAAAAAAAAAAAGAATGCCAACTTCAATGATGAAACAATTTTAAAAAAAGAAATGTAAATATATTTACCGGAATCCTCGTGTCGGCCGTCATCTCAACCCATTCTTGCCTGTTAAGGGATGCAGGAACCACTGGTTCACTAGGGTTAGCTGTAGATTTCTTCGAATCCTTTGGCACCTGAAACAAAAAATTTTTTCTTTAAAACTTTGAAACTTTTAGAAAAGTTTAGAAAAATTTTTATAGTTCCTTCACCAAAAAATCCCTTTCTTTTTTTAAATGAAAACAAAAAAAAAAATGTTACTCAAAGCAAGTATATCCGGATTACGTGGCTGCAGAGGGATTGTCATAAAATATTTATTGACTGTTGTAGAGAGAGTTGAAATTTATGCCATAAAAAGAAGTCAAACTCTAATACATTATTGAAGACAGACGTTGAGAGACTCTCGAGATTTCGATTTACTTGGTATATAAACGCCCCTCAAAAATCCAAATGTACCTTTGAAATTTAAGTTGACGAGAAATCATAAAATCTTATGAGAGGAATCATAAAATTTTTTCCCTTCTCACGAAATATATATAGTATCTCCAAAAGAAATGATAATATCACCTTAATTTTCAAAATTCATCTTTTTTCTTCCTCTATTAGAAATTTTTTAAATTTAAAAACTTGAACTAGGTCCGTAAATCCCATTAAAGTCCGTAAATTTGCTTCAAGTCCGTAAAAGTCAGTTTTCGATATAATTTGGAGAATTTTAAAGAAATTACAAATGAATGCAGAAATTCGATAATTTTCAAAAGTAATAAAATTCTTAGCAGAAATTCAGTTATGTTCAAAAATTTTTTAAAAATTCTAGTCAAAATTTCAATTATTTTTAGAAATACCAAAATTATTCCCGAAATTCAATTATATTCAGGAATTTGAATAAAATTCATTGCAAAATCCAATTATTTTCATAACTAACAATATTCATCACAAGAATTCAATTATCTTAAAAATTAATAACATTCTTCGCAGAAATTCAATTATATTCAAAAAATCTAAAAAAAAAATTGTCGGCAACGTTTCAATTATCTTTTATAAATGAATAGAAAAATTCTTCGACAAAATTCAATTACTTTCATAAACAATAGTATTAATCACAAGAATTCAATTATTTTCAAAAGTTATTAAATCCAATTATTTTGAAAAATGTTTCTTATAATTTAATGATTTTAAATATTCTACCTACTATTTTAATAAAATTTTCCAAAAGAATGCAATTATTAAACAAAAATTTTTATAAAATTCTATACGAACATGCAATTTAATTATTTAAAAAAAATTTAATACAATTCTACGCAAACATTTAATTATTTTCATAAAATAATTAAAAATTTTACAGGAATTCAATTATACACAAATTTTTTATAAAATAATAAAACTGAAGTCAGTAACATTTTCGTTGACGCAAAATGAGAAAAGAATTTTTTTAAAGATCAAGATGCAAATAATTTCTGCGATAAAAAGAACTTAATTGTTCTTTTCATTACATCCTACACAGATTTTTAATCCAATCGAGGAGGGAAAGTCAATTATTATTTAAAAATTGAAGTTTTTATCTCATTTCGTTGACGTAAACGTTGGAAACTTCAGTTTCATTCAACGAAATATGATTTTAACAGAAGTTAACAAATCCGTGAACAGTTTTAAAAATTTAACTTGAAAAATATATTGTAACGAAAATTTTAATTGAGTTAATTAACTGAAGCTTAAATCAAAGCTCATGAAACTTTAAATAAATCTTTAATGTCAGCAGTTTTTCAATGTTGGGCGCAAAAGTTAACTAAACATTGCATGAAGTAAAAATTTTTTTTAATTTAAATGAATTTTTTCTCTAAAGAAGGATGTTTAAAGAAAATTTAAAAAGGTTTTGAAAAACTTAAAAAACATTGAAAAACTGCAGACATTTAAAGATTTATTTCAACTTTCATGAGCTTCGGAACTAAGGATATTCTGTAAATATGCTGATGGTAGCCAAGGAAAAACCAACATAACCTTTAAATTCCACTGGTAAATTAGTAAATTTGACTATGTCATATTTTTATACAACAGATTGAATCAGTAACTTATATTTTACTAATCGAATCAGTAACTTTCTACTAATTATCAGTAACTTAATTCTGTTAATAGCAATTAGTAGAATTCTATACTGATAATCTGTCAAATTTTACAAATGCAAAGTTAAAAGTAAACATTTCAGTTCAATATTGTCTCAATTGTGCTATGTGATGTTTAAATGTTACTTCAAATTACACATAAACAATTACTGATACATATTTTGAAATAAATTGTTAAATATATTTTATAACTTATAATCTAACAAGAAGTTCTAGCTATTACCAAGCTAGGGCCAGGTTAAGGTGCATTCCAAGCTAGGACCATTATAGACCCAATAATCAATATTGGCAAACCTTGGCAATTTCCACACGGGTAGCGTGAATTTTTAGAAATATTTGAATTTTGAAATTAATTTTTTTGAAAAAGTTTCATTGAATTTTTTTTTTTTATATTAATCCAAGTTTTTATTTTTCAAAATATATTTAATTGAAGAATTTACGAATGTTTACGAATAATTGAAATTTCGTAAAATTAAATATTCTAAAGTCTAAACTAATTAATTTACAAATTGTCAAAAAACTTTTTCGAAAATTATTGAAAATAATCTTTTATTATTATAAAAACATGGAGAAATCGATTATTCCGAGTCGAAGACTCGGAGTAATCGATATCTTCATGTTTTATAGTTATAAAAAAATTTAATTTATAGTTTCAATTAAATTATGTTTCTTAAAAAAATAAAATAAAATATTTCAGTAAAATGTTTTCTTATTTGACTCGAACTTACATTTTTATCAGTAATTGGTCCGTAAAATCCGTATTTTTTCATTTTTGGTCCGTAAAAGTTCGTATTTTTAAATACTTCCACTGCCACGAGCCCTGTTTAAATTTATCATTTACAATTCTCATTTCATTTTTATTCACCAATTTTTTATTCCTTCCTCAAACCATTTTAAAAGGTATATCGGAAAAATAAAATTTCAATTTATTTTTATGACAACTGAAATAGAAACATTATTTCGATTTATATTTCGAAATAAAAAAAAAGGCTAACTAAAGTTACACATTTCGTTACCCCCCTCTTACCCATACAAAAGAGGAAGGATTACACTTTCGGAAAATATTTATTATTTTTCAATGTCTTATTTTGTCACTTCTTTTTTTATAGACATGGACATATATCACTAGGGAAAACTTTAAAGTGTAAACTTTAAATTGGATCAAGTTCGAAATGAGAGAATCAAGTTTCAGTGAATTTTCAAACCCTATTCGAAGAGAGCAGAGCGTCGAAAGCTTTTGAAATCTCAAAGTCAAAAGCCAGAAGTTTCATGGCAATTCGAAAACGTTTAAGTTCCTTGGGGTACTTTTGGCTTCGCGTACTTATGTGCATTCGAATCAACAGCAGCAGTGGGACAGTCGTCGCCTCCCCCCCCCCTTCCCCCACAAACACGCTTTCCAAGAGAGTAATTCACTTCCTCTGCCTCCCCCCCTCTTTACCCCCCACGAACCACACATTTCCATTTGCAAGTTCTCACGGCCAGTATACTTCGTCGTGCTCTTTAAAGTTTAGCAGTTTATGTCGCAATTACAAGGAACTGAATAGTTAGTAGTTTAACTGCCGTTTAATGTAGATGATCGTCTGAAATCCCATTATGAAGACCGGAAAGAAACGAAATTACTTACTTAGCAAATCTGGGAAAAGGAAAAGTAAAAAAAAAAAATCTTCTCATTTCTTTTGCAGATTTTTTCTCAGCAGGATGAAGTCTCTGGAAAATTGACGAGATCTTGAAGCTAAAGGATTTTAGATCATATGGCTAAAAAGATTTGTTCTTGTCGTTTCATTATTGTGACTTTTTGGTATCAATCCAGAGATGAATGGGCTTTAGTTATACAAGAAGACAAATTGACAAAAAAAAAAGTGTATCGCGATTCCAGGTACACTATAAAAAAAAGGTTCTAAATTAGAGCTGATTTCGGTATTAAAATAGAACTAAATTACGATTTAGTAACCAAAATTGGTACTAAATTAGTACCTTTCTTTTTACAGTGTACACAACATTGGTCTTTATGGAGAATCCTATTAAAATCGTCGTTTTCCAAATTACTTGCGACCTTAGTACAAAAGTTTTCACTTTTGTTCCTTTGGTTTAAAGTTATCACTTTTGTTGTTCTTTCTTAGAAGACTTTCGTTTTCCAAATCATCTTTTTTCTTTTGTGAATTTTTTCAAAGTGAAATCCAAAAGTAATGTTTTACAAATTTATTAGTAAAATTAGTAAATTCTCTAAATTTTAATTAGTAAAAATATTTACTAATTTGAATTAGTGACTGACTTTTTGCTTTTAAATTAGTAAAGTTTACTACCAAATAATAATTTATTAGTAAAATTAGTAAATTCTCTAAATTTGTAAAAATATTTACTAATTTGAATTAGACTCACTTTTTGCTTTTGAATTAGTAAATTTTACTAATAAATTAGTAAAAAAAAATTACAATTTGGTAGTAAAATTTACTGATTCAAAAGCAAAAAGTCAGTCACTAATTCAAATTAGTAAATATTTTTACTAATTCAAATTTCGAGAGTATTGTTTCCTTGCCATCAATCAAGATGATTGAGCAGGGTAGCCAAAAAAATTTAATTTTGTTTTTCCTTGACTTTTCCCTGATTTCCAGACAAAATTTTCACTTTTTCCCTGACCGTAAAGAATATTCTGATTCATTAAAAAATAATTAATTTATAATTCACAATTCATAAAAAGTAAGTCGATAATCAGCAGAAAATGAAAAATAATTTTTGAGCAAACTTTATCTTCTGTTTACTAACAATTTTTAGTCATAAAATTTTTTTCTGGTCCCAAACTATTGCTAGAATAATTTCAATTAATATCTAGGCCATAAAAATTAATGTAATTCACAATTTATAAAAAGTAACCACAGCCGATAATCAGCAGAATATGCAAAATTATTTTTGTGCGAACTTTATCTTTTGTTTACTAACAATTTTTAGTCATAAGATTTTCTACTGGTCCTAACTTGGCACTAGAACAATTCCAATTAATATCTGGGTCATAAAAATTAATT